TTCCCCCCCCCCCCCCCCAGCTCTCAGCTCTCTCCACCTGCTGCCACTCGTGCACTATTGGACGCTCACTGGAAAGAATGGGCTTTAGTTCTATACTTCAGAGACCATTTTGTGTTTTACTACATTGTGTTCTCTCTTGGCACATCAAAAGATGGTATTTCTTAGCCTTTTTATAGGTATACTAGAAGCCCGTTGCACGAAGATTCGCGTAATAGGCCTTCCTTCACCTGGCTGCCGGCACCGGTTTTCCTCCGGCACCCGGGACCCAGGCCTTTGGTCCGGCTGCAGCGGAGAAGCCAAGCCTCTTCAGTCTTCAGTCTTCAGTCCGGCCGGAGCCTTCAGTCTTCGCTCCGCGCCTGCGTATGCAAATTAACCACCATCTTTGTTGGGTTAACTTGCATACTCATCCTATTGGCTGGTAGGTGTAGCGGAGTGACACCAATTTGCATGTTTCTCTTTTATTAGTGTAGATTGTGACCATGACTGAGTTCTGTCAAAAGGAAATGTGGGTGGAAGTGATTTCTTTCTTCTGGTCGGAGGCCCTATGAGCTGATTTGAACCCTCTGTCTCTTTTTTATTTAGGTGATGATTGTGGAGGCCACAGGATAAAATAGAGGAGTCCCAATGTGGGAACTACCTGGATCCTTGAATCACCCCATGGAAGACAGGAATATCGTCTGTTCTGTTTTCATGTTTACAGGAGCAAAAAAAGAAACATTTGCTGAGTTATGCTACTAAAAACAGTCTTTGTTATTGGAGCATAACCTAGTTGAACCTAACAAACACTATAATTAGAAAGTGTAGGAAGAAGAATTTATTGCATTATAAATTAGTAACTGCAGGAAATGACCTAGAATGGATCAGCATAAGCTAAGAACAGGATGGAATTCAGAAATTCCAGGGCTGTCCCTGTGTTTTTGTGTGAGTCAGGGAGTGATAGAGGTTTGGGATATTTTTATAATAAATTTCAAAATGGATTCCTAATATAACTCTTACTAGAGGCCTGGTGCATGGATTCATGCACCTGTGGGGTCCCTCCACCTAGCCTGCAGGCATAGGACTGAAATTGGCTCTCTGACATCCTCCCAAGGGGTCCCAGATTGCAAGTGGGCAGTTCTCGGGTGACGCATCCTAGAATTGGGCTCCCTCCTCTCTGGTTCCGGGTGCATCACCCAAGAACCGCAGCTGCCAAGTCACCACAGCTTGGCAGCTCCTGTGTTGAGTGCCTGCCCCCTGGTGGTCAGTGTGTGTCATAGCTACTGGTAAGAGCGTCTGCCCCCTGGTGGTCATTGCACATCATAGCTATCGGTTGGATGGTCGCTTAGGCTTTTACATATATAGATGGGTGTTACTAATGTTAGAGGTCATATTCCAGATTTCTAGTTCCAGTACTTGTTATTCTTTTCTTTTTTAAAGTTGAGGTAAGGAAAAGGGTAAGGTAAGGAAGGGTGGAGGAGGTTATGAAGAAACTGATACGACTAACAGGAAGGTGAAAGGGGGGGGGGATGGATGGGAAAGAAGGGACAGTTGTAGGACATACAGGACATGAACTAGGCTCAGTGATACCAAAACTGGGCCTCAACTCTCCTTTTCACAAACTTAAACTTAGAAAACATTGAAAAGATGCTTTTGGTATAGGAAATGTGAAAAGCAGTGGGGCATGCGGAAAGAGTTTCAAAATAAGAAAAAGTATCCAGGGGGAACAAAGAGCGTAGGTTAGGTCAAAAAACATGGAAAGCTTGCTAAAATTAGGGGTAAAAGGAGATGAAGAATGAGAAAAATTCAAATGTAAAAAGTAACAAGGGGAAAGAAGAAAAGAAGAGATAAAAAGTGTGAGTGGGGAAACATTTGTGAGTTATTCTCACTAATTAGTTTCTAAATGTGATTGCCATTTTACTCAGTAGATGTTGAGTAAAGATTACTGCACATAATGTGGGTGGGCCTCCTCTAATCAGCTGAAGGCCACCAGAGAAGAGACTGAGGTCTCCAAAGGAAGAAGGCACTCTGCCTCCAGATCGCCTCAGGACCCAAGACTGCAACATCATCTCTTCCCTGGGTCTCCAGTGCGCTGACCAACCCTGCCGATTTTGGACTTCTCAGCCCCCACCATGGTGTGGGCCATATCCTTAAAATAAATGTTTCTTTCTGTGCATATGCATGCCATTCATTCTGTTTCTCTGGAGAACACGAAATCTAAACTGGATTTTGGTGTAGGATGTTATTAACAATGTAAATATAATCAATAGTTATAAAACACATATTCTGACAGTTTGTAAATGTAAAAATTCTAACTTCCACAGTTTAGCTTCCATTTCTTCATCCTGAAAAAAAAGCCTCAGGACTCTGTCCTCAAATGGACTCTGCCCAACCTCCAGCTGGCTTCTTTCCCGGTCACTAGCCTTCCAGGCCCACTGTCCGAGTGTCTAACTGTGTGGGGAAGGAATGGGCTTGTTTCTAGAAGTATCCTCCAGTTAATATGCCTTTACAAGTGCTCTTTGGAGCTGTTATCTTTCTCCGTGAGAGTCAGACAGATACATCCAGCCATTGGAAGGCGGGAGGAACAAAAAGTTGCACCGGTGTGGCCCCTGCTCTGTCCTGGCTGTATGACCCAGGACAGGTCACTTCACTTGTCTGGGTCTCAGTTTTGTTCATTTGCCTACTAAGAATTTTAGACTCTAATTATTTAAGGCCTTACTTAGCATGAGTTCAGAGGCTCCCTAAATGCTTCTGGAAGTGTGTGAGCTGAGGTAGCTGACAGCCTCCAACACCCATTCCTACTGTACACTGGGAATCCCGGCTTCATCTGGGGCCCTCTCCCAGCCCATCTATCTCGCTCATTCCCTCCCCTGCATTCTTCTCCATACCCAGCCCTTGGTTCCCAACTCACTGTTTTGAGTGTCCTGGGCGACTGCAGGACCCACAACAAGCAGTAGGGACAGCAGGACAGGCACCATTGTGCTCATCGTGTCTGAGTGGAAGGTCCTGGACTTCCCAGGTCCTGGTGCAGACTACTTGGAGAGACGGCCAGATATAGTTTTGGGAGCAGCTTGGCTTGGAGCCCTGCCCAGGTGAGGTAAATGCACAGGCCAATGAGAGTGCCAGGCTGGGCTCCTCAGCTGACGGTGAGGAAGCAGGATGCACAGGCCAGGCTGGGTGTGTTTTCCTCAGTGTCTACAGATGGTCTGCCCATGGGGAGCTGAGCCAGGTGATCTGGGGACTGGGACTTTACATGGGTCCACACTGTTGCCCTCTTGGCAGCAGCATGTGATTACAGGACTAGTCCCATGGTGTTATTTGGTTTGTGCTTCTCCTGCCTAAGTCTTAGTTTCTCCATTGATTTCAAGAACTAACTGGTAAATAAATGTATTTTCTGCTTAAAGTCAGAATCAGAATCTGTTTCAGTAACTAATGATGTGACTGTTACCGAAATTGGAAAAGGATTCTTTTTAAGCAACAGTCACTCAGGGAAATGGAGGAAGGGGAACCAGGCTTGGTTATGGGGCCAAACTGGGGTTAAAGTCAGGGTCTTGCAGGCTATTATAAGGAGTGGAGGGTCAAACAGCCAACCGAGTCACCTCTTATGGTCAACCGGAATAAAATGCTCAGTGAAGGCAAAATATTAGATGCCAAACAGCTTGAGAAATGCAAAGGCAAGGCGTGATGATTGAGTCCATAGGGCTGGGAAGCTTTAAAAAATGTAATGAACTCAAAAGCAGAAAGTATTGACTCAAAGCACAGTCTGAAAATCAGGTGATAGCTATGATAGTGCAGAGAGGATCTTTTGGCTTTTCTAGTTTTAAAGATGAAACAGACAAAAAAATGAATAGTGCCTAATGATTTAAAGCTAAAAACAAAAAATAAGTTTTCATAACGTAATTACAAAAGTCTGAAAAGTCTAATAGCCAAGTGTGACCCAGACATTCCTGCAAATCTTATACAATTGCTACTAAGGATGGGTGACAAGAGCTTCCTCAGAGGAGGAAGTTAAGTGTGGAATGGCATTGGGAAAGGCTTGTGGATGAGGGAAATACCCAACAGGGAAAGAATCTCTGTTGGCAGCAGGGGGCAAATTTTACAAGGACAGGAATGTGTGTTCTGTTCATTTCTCTGTCCCCAGTACCAAGCCCAGTTCCTGGCAGAAAGAAGACAACAAATAAACACAAAAATAGATCAATCGATAAATGAGCAGGGACCAAAAGGGATGGCAGCAGATCTATCTGAGAGTCACTGAAGCCATTTGGTGGAAATGGAGTTCAGGAAGGAGAGTGAGGCTATGGCAGATGGAGTGATATGTTCAAAAGGGAGGTTGGAGTCAGATTCTAGACGACCCCCACCCAAAGAACACCCAATGTCTTCCAGGGAATGAGGCACATTTTATTATTGTGTCTTTTCCTTACAGCCTGTATTCTCTGCAGACCCTACCCCTAGATCACCAGTACTTAGTCTTTTGTGCCATCTCCTCATTTGCTGAGACAAATTTTATATTTTCTTAATTTTTAGAAGTTATTTATTTATTCCTTTCAAGATGATATTTAATGCATTATAAATAAAACACAGAATAGAGCAGAAGCCAGTCACATGGAAATGCAGGTCTTTCCATGCATTTTGTGTGGCCTGATGGTCGTTTGCAAAGGGGTCCCCCATACAGAACAACATGCTGTCCTAAAGTGGCTCTGTCCTAAATGCAGGTTGCATACCTGTCAGGTCCTGTCACCCTCCTCTCTCAGCTGTCTCATACCTTCTTGGTCAGCAACAATCTTTCTACCTCTTTTTGGAAAGCTATGTTAGGCTTCTATACCCTCTCTGAAATCTCACTCCTTCCAGGAAGTTGCTATGGGGGTGTGAATGACTCTGTGCCCTCTCCTGTCCCCCCCATAGTCTGTCGGGACTTCAGTCTTTTGAGGTTTCCTCCCTCTGGTCCAAGTCTGCCCCGCTTCTCATAAGTGGGGTGAGACATCCCACTGTAATCTGCCTTCGCCTTGGGCTATTCATGTGGACTTCTGGTTTCTTCATGGATCTGAAAATGTTCTCCTGTGACATGTTTTTCTTTATTTGTTCTAAGTTGTTGGTGTGTGTGTGTGTGTGTGTGTGTGTGTGTGTGTGTGTGTTTAAATACCACTGGCTGGTTTATTTCCTTCTGAGTTTTTTTTATTTTTCTTCCATTACTAAATATCAAAGACAACATTTCCATATACTTCCCACCCAACACAATGTAATTAAAAATACTAATGTGAGAGAGAATTAAAGGGCCAAGAGCCTTATCTAGGACACTTTCTTTTTTCTCCCTGGGGAGCTCAAGATAAGAACATAAATTAAACTTAGGCCCCTTTCATGATACTCAGGAGTGGGCTGACAATGTCCCCCTCTGTGCCCATTCTTGCCCTGAACCCAGAGCTTTGAGAGTAGTTTTAGTGGGTTAAGTAGGATTCTGAGGTCACCTACCCTTTCATATCCCCTTTCCTCAAGGTGCTTTGGCCCTTCTCTTGCTCAGTGCTAGTGAGTAGAACATAAGAAGCTGTGAACACTCAGTTCAGGTAGTAGGTGATCCCTCTGAACATCTCAGGGCACTCCTCCTCCAGACAGGCCTCAGACACTTAATCAAGATGCTCTCTGCTCCCCCATTCTGATTGGTGTTCAGGGCTGCTAGGGGAGCGGGCCTAAGCTGGCAGTCGGACATTCCCCAAGGGGTCCTGGACTGCGAGAGGGCACAGGCCGGGCTGAGGGACCCCCCCGCCCCCCAGTGCACGAATATATATATATGAATATATATTTCTCTTAGCTTATTTTTATTTTTCATTTTGATAAAAAACATTATCAAGAAGCTTCTGGAAGTAAAATTTTTGAGAGCTTGTATATCTGAAAATGTCTTTATTATACCTTCACATTTGATTGACAGTTTGGCTAGGTATAGAATTTTTTTAAAAATATATTTTATTGATTTTTTACAGAGAGGAAGGGAGAGAGATAGAGAGCTAGAAACACCGATGAGAGAGAAACATCGATCAGCCGCCTCCTGCACATTTCCCACTGGGGATGTGCCCGCAACCAAGGCACATGCCCCTGACCGGAATTGAACCTGGGACCTTTCAGTCCGCAGGCCGACGCTCTATCCACTGAGCCAAACCGGCTTTGGCATAGAATTTTAGGTTAGAAATAATTTTCTTTAGCGGTTAAAGGAATAAATAAATAAATAAATAAATAAATAAATAATTTTCTTTGCTAAATTTTCTTTAGCATCTCTCTGTTGTCTTCTAGCTTTCAGTGGTACATTTGAAATGTCTAGAGCCATTCTGATTTTTTGTTGTTGTTAATCCTCACCTGAGGATAGTTTTTCCATTGGTTTTCAGAAAGAGTGGTAAGGATGGAGGAGGAGGAGGAGGAGGAGAGAGAGAGAAAGAAACATCAATGTGAGGGAGACACACATTGATTGGTTGCCTCCTGCATGCACACTGACCAGGGCCAGGGATCGAACCTGCAACCCAGATACATGCCCTTAACCAGGAATTGAACTCACAACCCTTAGGTCCGTGGGCTGACACTCTAACCACTGAAAAACACTGGCCAGAGCACCATTCTGATTTCGTTTTTTTAAATTATTTTTTACATCTTTATTGTTGAAAGTATTACATATGTCCCTTCCTCCCTCACCCGCCACTGACTTCTTCTAGCCCATCCCTGCTCCTCACCCCAGGCCTTCACCACCTTATTGTCTATGTCCATGGGTTATGCATATATGCATACAAGTTTTTTGGTTGATTTCTTCCCACCCACCCACCCAACCCACCCAACCCACCTTCCCTCTGAGATTCGACAATTTGTCCCATGCTTCTGTCTCTGGGTCTATTTTGTTCATCAGTTTATTTTGTTTATTAGATTCCACATATGAGTGAGGTCCTGTGATACTTGTCTTTCTCTGACTGGCTTATTTCACTTAGCATAATATTCTCCAGGTCCCTCCATGCTGTCTCAAAGGGTAAGAGATTCTTCTTTTTTTACACCTGCATAGTATTCCATGGTATAAATGTACCACAGCTTTTTTTTTTTATCCATTCATCTACTGGTGGACACTTGGGCTGTTTCCAAATCTTAGCTATTGTAAATTGGGCTGCTATGAACATAGAGATGCATACATTATTTCTGATTGCTGTTTTTGGTTTCTTAGGATATATTTCTAGAAGTGGGGTCACTGGGTCAAATGGCAGTTCCATATTTAATTTTTTGAGGAAACTCCATACTGTTTTCCATAATGGCTGTACCAGTCTGCATTCCCACCAGCAGTGTATAGGGTTTCCTCCTTCTGATTTCTGACTCTTGTGTATGACCTGTGTGGGTTTTTTTTCTGTCCTATCCAGAAACTTGTACAATTTTAATTTTTTTCTCTAGTTTTTTGAAATTTCATGACAATATGCTTTGGTATGAGTCTATTCCTCCTCAATTCATTCTATGTGCAACTTCTATTGCATAACTGTTGGACCTTCTGGCCAGTAATTTTCTTATGTGTTCGCTCCTACCATCTCTTTTTCTTTTTACTATAGTTTCAGGGGGATTTCCTCAACTAAGGAAACCACCTCCCCCTTGGCTGAGGGACTCCACAAACAAAATGGCCCATCCCTCTGCTCCTGTACCGAATGAAAAACCCGGAGCTTTCCAGGGCCAGTGAGGGGGCTGGCGGCAATGCCCGATGGCAGGAGAACCCTCCTTTCCCTTGGCAGGGAGGGCTACCCACAAGAGACAGAGGGAACCTAGGGAAGGGGGAGCTCTGGGCCATCCTCTCCCAACCAATCATGGCTGAGGAAGAGGAGAGCCAATGGGGGGCAACAAAAAGGGCAGTCCATCCTTCATGGCTTATGCCCTGCCAGGAGAGCACTGAGTTATGGCCTTGATCACTGCCAGTGAGGATGTTCCTCTGCCTGATTCCTTTGGAAAGCCCAGATAGGAATATTGGCGCTCTCCCCTTCCTCCAGGATTGACCTGAGAACCACAGGGGCATCCTGGGTGATGGTTGTGAGGAAAGCAGGGGGTGAAAAACCCCCTAGGGTGCTGTAGATTGGATGGGGGCACTGCACAGA